GATACTACATGCAGTAGAGCTTTTCATTACAATTTGAAATAAGATATATAGTATTACGAATGAGAGGCTTTCCATAAAGCTTTTTCTAGAAATACGTGCCCTATTCAGTCAACATATGTAATCATTTATCATTCTTCTATCAAAGAAATACTTACTATTATTATACTTACTAATTATTATAATATTTATTAATAATTACTAATTATATACTCATTGTACTCATTTAAATACCTATTTAAATCTTTATATATAGTTAAATAGATTCAAAGAATACATTTAATTATTCTTAAATCAAAGAAATGTAGCCTAAATGTGGACTAAAATTCATTTAAAAATGTATTTTACTAGCAATTAGTTGGTAATATTTGTTCATCACTGGTGAAGATTCTAGGGGGCCACTTTGCTTCTCCAAAGTATCTGCCATCTCACGAGCTCAACAAGCATGTCTTCAGTGAAATTAAAAGTGAGTTAATATGGGAAAGGTCAGAATGAAATAAATAAAACAGGTAGTTTTTCAACCATATGTTGAATTTTTATTTTTGTAACTATGTTTTGTGCTCCATCACTATATGATGCTGAAGCAGAAATTAATGCCTTATTGTACTTCAGTGTAACACACAAGCACTGAGCTGTGTTGGTTAGAGCCTTTGATGTGTGTCTGATCAGTGTGCTGAGTTGTGCCACAGCTATAAATTCATATTCACCCTTAAGCATCGCAGAGACACATAGTGTCCATGCTTTCTAGCAGTGAGCTACAAGACCCGTGGGCAAACTGTGAACTTTTATAACAGTGCAAAATAGGATTGCTGCAGGGAGTTCACCTGGCTGAGATGAACATCAGTCACCTGCCTTTAGAGAAAGAAACTCTAACCAAGACAGCTTCTAAATGTCATAGCAGCTCCCTCACATTTCTGAGGATAAAGCTGATGAGGAAATCACCTTTTTAAAGGGGCAGAATGACTATGGGATCAGTCTTGTGGTATGGCATTTAACAGCCGTGACAGGTGAAATCTTCACAGAGTGTCTCAGACATGTCTTTTTCCATATAAAATGACAATTTTAAGGAAATCTACAGCAAATCCACACAAACAGAAGAGAGAATTACTTCCTTTGGGATTTAAACACAACAAAAGTCAGCACAGCCAAACAAAATGTTAAGAAATGTACCTTGACTTCCTGATGAAGTTTCTAGTTTTCTGGGGCTTGTGATCTCCAGTTTGGTCAATCCATCTATTGTCAAGGACCTAAAGTGACCATTAGCACCAAAAAATGCAGCCTGATTTCTTCAAATGCACCTTTGGCATGACATTTCAGTGAGCTGTAATTTTAGAGAAATTTGTGTGATGATTCAGAAAGAAGTAATGGCAAATGCTGAGTTTCTACCCAAAGTAAAAGTACTTGGTTTTACAAATGCTAGTTTCATAAATTATAGTAGGGACTTCAGAATGCAAACAGTGTTGAGGAGGATATATTTTAGTCTTATCTTAAAGCAGGAGCACAACCTCTTTTGAAGGCTGTATTGCAATCCTTTCAACTGAATAAATAGGTCTACCTCTACTATATAGTCCTGGATTTTACGTTTCAAATTGCCAGAGTCTATTTAGATTTTGTCACTTTCTATACAGTACAGCAATATCTTCATCTAAAGCTTTTATGTGTTCATGAAGTAGCTTCTATTTCTCTTAGCTCCAGAATTATAATCAATTGCTTCATTACAATTGACTGTACATTTCTTACCAAATACTTTTGCACTGTCAGAGCTCCAAACCAACTCAATGTAAGAAAGCACAGCTTTTCCTGCATAACAAAAGGTTGTAGCCGTATGTCCACTGACAAGGCCTGAGTGTAAAATTAGCCCCTCACTTTTTACTCTGTGTGTAGCAATTGTATCTCAGGACTCTGACTCACTCTCATGTGGTAACCAGGCAAACCAACAGCCTCTTGGTAAACGAGCCTGAAGCTTATTAGAGGATGTTAATAACATCCTATATTAAAGTGCTTTTTAGTGTCTCACCAGCTGGTGAATAAAGAAAATCATATTGAAAACATCGTAAGAGTCATAAGAAATTATACTATATTATATTCCAAGTACTTTGTGACAAAAAGTATTATTTATAGAAAATCTTTCCCCATAAGAACTGTCATAACTACAGAAAGCTTTTCTCCAGTGTAATTTTATTAGGGATTCCTGCCATCATATCAACATACAAAACAATCAGGATGTTGACATATAGAAATGTGAAATTCACTGTACAAAGATAAGGCTCAAGTTACAGGTATATTTTCCCCTTACACTCCATGAAATAAAACCATTTTTAATTCTTCCCAGAGTTGTGTTTATAAATGTTAGACAAACCACAAAATATATTTCAAGTACATAACATTTTACAGTATAATCCAAGCACAGACAAAAATACACAATACTGTACCTATAGACGGTCCATAGTCCAAGTCTGTCATCTTTTCTAGTAAAAAGCTGCTACTCTCTCTGAATGTGCCCAGCCACGTCCTTCTGTGTGTGACATGGTCCTGGCCTTTGTTACAAGACTCTCATGACTTTTAGTTAAATTACTTTGATAGACCAGAGAATATAGGAAGGAAAACTGAGAATTTTAAAAGGCCAGGTCTGAATGTATGCCCATGATTATGAAATGCAAGCACATGTGCACATACACTTGCATTTAACCCTATATAAAACTTCACTGCACTGCACAATTGTTGAGATTATGTTCTCATGCAACTGAGCTATTTTCTGACTCTGATTTCTAAGAGTTAAATCAAGCATTACAATACTCCTACTCCTGGAGTGCTGTAATTCAAGTGTATCGTATCCAACTTTTTTTTTTTTAAGTGATTATCAGACTTTCTAGGAGGTTGTATGGAACCATGTCTTCACAGTCCAGTAGGAATTCTTCTCTCACAGCCTTCACCACTGAAAACACCTTTTCTGACCCCTTTGTTTAACAACAATGCAAATGAGTAATTTCCAGTTAAGACCAAATGTCTACATTTGTTCACTCTCCATTTCTATTAGGCTGAATGATTATTACCTTGTGGGAAAGGATCATTTAGCTGCAAGTAGCATAGGAAAAAACAGACGATAAATAACTAATCATAAGTGATTCTTCTGGGAAACAGATTAGCAAGGACAAAGACAATAAAAAAACACAATTGTTTAATTTAGTCTTTGTTGGAAGGGAGACAAATAGCAATCCAAAAGTTTTCAGCTGAGGAACAGAATTCCTAAGTCCAATAACTGTTCAATCTTTTAAAAACTGGAGAAGATTAGAAGGGAAGGAAAAATCCTCTATGAAAATTGCCATTTTAAAACTAGACACTTGCAAAGGCTTACAAGAGAAAACCAAGCAAAAGCAATTCCCTGATATTGAAACTAAAGGAATTTATTTAGTAGGAATTAGACATGTGGTTACAGCGTGTTAAATGCACATCTAATAAAATAGCCACAAATATGTCTCCAATTCATAAATGTCTAAGTAGGAGAAAGAGTCTGAAGCCAAAACTCCTTCATCTAAATATGAAACAAGGCTGCACTAAGATTGTGGGAGAGGAGGAATAAAAACTTTCTTGTCTTAAATACAACCTCTGTGGTATATTTGAGGGCTTTCATATGTTCTCAGCATTGACAAGATTTTATGTAAGTATATTCTCTAAGCTATATTGGAATACCTTTAGATATACAAATCCATGTTACACAGAACAGTATTAGATCTTGTAACTGGGCTCATAATAACAAGGAATGAGGGTAAGTATGGTGTTATATGTGAAAGGAAGCATATTAGTATGCACAGAAAATATGTTGTCTTAGAGATTAATCATAAAGGGCATCAAGCATGAAGATGCATCTCTTAAAGTGTTTAAGCCTTTAATTGTGAGCCAGTAGACTATTTTTATATCAACTGTACAGCCTAATGCTTTGCTTTTTTAAAGAAGTATGAAAAATTTATTCCCGTTTCACTTTTCATCTTCTTTAGGGCTTTTAAAAGTAGCTCGCTCACCTACTGATTTATTTTCGGGTCCTTTTTTCTCTTTTTTTTTTCCTTTTTTTTTTTTTTTTTTTTTTTTTTTTTTTTTTTTTTTTTGTCTATTATTGTCTCCCATTATGTACAATAATCTACATTTAGACTGAAGACTCAATCTTTCTCTAAACATACTTGGACTATCTTGTAAAGACTTTCTACGGAACTGATAAAGTGGAAGACAACCTGACAGGTAAGAGGAAGGATCATTTCAGTTCTGCTCACTTCCCCAAGCTTTCAGAAATTCTTTTGCATACTTGCTATCATTTCACCTCCCCAGGCAGCCCCTACTGAACTTGAGTAAACTTTCCATGTGTTTACCAAACACAGTCCCTTTGTATAAAGCTACATTAAATTCATTCATTCTCCAGCCCTAGCTTAAAAACAAATAACTGGTAAAACACTAAAAACACCCTACATGCCCCTCTGCATTATTCTTACCACTGTACATTAAATAACACCATAAGTTGTCTTTTACTAAAAATTTACCAAAATGTCTTAAACACATAAAAATTTAAAAAAAACAAACAAACAGAAAAACAAACAAAACCCAAAAACCCAGCATAAACATTGCTTGTATAGGCATTGGTTAGAAGAGATTGTTGCACTAAGGAGTATATTCAAAAATGTTTTCTTTCAATATCATCAGTTATAGTGTCATGGATTGAAAGGTTAAGGACAACAAAACTTATTATGACCTTATCTTATATAATGCAATAAATGAACTGGAAGTCTGAAATATAATTAAAATAAAGCTGCTTTTTGGTTATTGAGAGGTGACTGCATAAGCTGGTAACTAAAATGGCAATTTAAGCATGTAAAGGGAACTGAAGAACCTGAAGACTCTGTAAAGAAAACTGTACATAAAGATATGACAGCAGCTGCCAACAGATGGGCCCAGGGGCATTATGGAAAGTTGTCACTAACTGAAATTTTGAATATAGCCCTTAGTTATATCATATTCTTGTAAAATTTAAAAGCTGCCCAGCATATCACGGATGAAGTTTATTTTGCAAGCCATCCACTGCCTAAGGGGGCAGTAATATTCAACATGAAACTGCTGGAACTCCGGCGTCTGGCGGATTTCATGAAGGAAAGAGATTTGAAGGTCCGACTCCAAGAGAACAAGGAAAAGGGGGAACACAAACAACAAAAGTCCAAGACCTACAAGAAGAAGTCTGGAGAAACTCTTCACAAAAGCATTCACCTCTATGTTGCCCATTAGAAAGTCATAGCTCCACCTCAGGGCTCTCCGAGCTTCTTTCAGTTCTTCCTCCTCTGCAATTAAAAATGCGTTTTCATCTGCTTCAAGTTCCTCAAATGAATCGGTGTCATCTTTCTCATTCTCTGCTCTTGGACAGGTATCAAAAAGCATGTCAATCTCATCATCCACCGGTGTGGGCAGCAAGCTGGCACTTGGATTGTATACCAGCTCTGAGATGGTTAAGGGCTCCTCTTTCATCTTCTCTTCCTGTTCAATGCCGAGATCAACATCCTTCCCAGTATCCTTTACTGGAGAGCTTGAAGTCACAGGTACTGAAATCTCCTCTTCCTTTGGCAGTTGGATACCTGAAAAAATGAGATAAGCAACACAATTAAAACAATGATACTAAAATTCTCCAGCCTGGTACCAAAAGTCAACCTTCCAAGAGTATCTAACAGATGTATGGAAAGAAGATTTTGCAATAATTTTGCATATTAAAACTAGACTGTACACAATTACCAAAAACTGGAAAAGGTTTTTGAAGAGGACAGTATCTTTACAACACTGTAGTACATCAGATCTGCTAAAGAGGATAATAGTATAGTGCAAACCAGAAAAGAGAGCAGCTTATTATCTGACTTCTGGCATAAATTAATGCCAACTACCTGTGTGAACTGGTACTCTTTGTCGTATAATATTAACAACAACAACAACAACAAAAACTACCAACTCTCACTGCTTTGAGATGAGTGAGTGTGGTAAGATGATAGCTAAGGTTGAGAATAGAGCATAGCATTAAAAAGACACAATAAATTATTATGATAAATTCATGTTAACAGTAAAAAGGGAAAAAGGAGAGTAAGGTTAACACATGATATTAGGATTAGATATCATTGGAAAAGCCTTCTAACAACCTCCCTCACGTGTTAAAAAAGCTTCTTCTCATGTCCTTTTTTTTCCTAGTTTTTCTAGTTCTTTTGTTCTTTCCTGACTCCTCTAAATGTCTCCTCTCCCCTTTACAGAGGAGACTTTCTTATGACACTATTCCTTGCTCAAGTCCTTTCGTCTCAAAACTTACTCTCCTTTTTCCAGTCTATCTCTAATAGCAATAAAAAGAAGTCTAGCTGTTCACAGCTACATCAATACTTCAGTGACTGCTGTTAGTTGTCAGTCGCAGGAGTGGACAGGAGGACAGCTGGGCACAGATCTGCTTTACAAAACTATGTTAAGACACCTCCTCACGGAAATTTCCATTTTTAAGTATTCAAAATGGCCCAGACAGATCTCTTCCCCTGTATTTTGTTATCTTTTCCTTGCTCTCTAGACCTCACTGGCCATGGCTCCAGGTGAGGTTTCACATTTTGGCCAAATGACCAAAAAGACAATTTCTGCTTCTTTTCATTTCATCACTGAGCAAGTAGCCTGGATTAGCATCTGATGCTTTCTCTTCCTGAACTGGCTTGTCATGTGCTCCTGTGGAGACAGCACATTACCAGCGATGGAGAAAGGGGGCAGGAGAGTTCCTTTCAGCAGGAAATGCGCATAGCTGAATTGAAACCTTGTCCTCAATAATTATTAGTTCAATAATTTAATTTGTTTAATTTTCATAAGTTTGATTTTACTTCCTACCGAATAATTCCTTGCCTCAAGTACCCTGTCCTCTCTTATCACAACTAATTTAGAAATTCATCATATTTCAGCATGAAACTTGTTTTGCTCTGGAACTTAATTGTTTAAACCAGTCTTTACATAAAGAAATACATTTGCCACAGCCATCAAGAGGAGGATACAAACCAACTGAAATGAGGCAAAAGAGTGTATGAACTCCAAGAAATGAGAACAGATTTGGAGGATCTTTCTCCTAAGTAACAGAAGGTAATGCTGGGTCATCAAATGCAATTACATGAGAGTACACCCATGATGCATTAAATTACAAAAGCCAAAATTGTTTAAGTCAGGAACCCAGAATTAAGAACCTACACATTTCTTTAGACATACAAGTACTTCCATTTGATTCTCAAATATGCTTTTCAATTATTCTTAATATAAGTAAAATTTGAGTCATTTACTTAGACATTTCAAAATGGTTGAAAGCACTCAATATTACTCTCCCAAATTTGAGAAATCTGGCCATAGGCCTCTCTATGCCAGCTTAGGTGCAAGGTCAGTAATATATCTTCATCATGTTTCTCATCATGGAGGACAGCTGCAGCTACCAAAAAGAAAGGTCACCCCAATTTACGATTCTTGAGCCTACTCTTCCTCCCCAGGGTAAATTTCAGCTTGCATAAAATACATAGTGAGCATGAACAACATATATTAACTTTCATTAAAGCTGTATTTTCCCCAAATAACTGGCAAACTTCTGACTGTGAGGTTAACCTGTTGATAGAAGGCAACAGAAGAACCTTTTCATGTCAGTATTTTTGTTTCCTGAAGGGTTTGTATTAAAATTGTAATGTGTTGCAGCTCTGAAGCACGCATCAAAATTTACATTCCACTATTTCATTTCAACTGCTAAGAATTTCCAACTCCTTTATTTGTTATTTAAACTTATTAAATCTAAGTAACTGCATTTTATATCAGTCAAATACTAGCGTAAATTAATATTTGAAAATTTAGAATGGGCATGAAATGCTGTTGCTGCAAGCTCATTTGATATTTTAAAAAATTAAATACATGAAGTTTTTCTTTTTGCCCCTTCATATTCTCTGTAGCAACACAAAATTTTTTAAGTCAAGGACTGAGGAAAGAACAAGCTATTAATCAGCTATTAATTGACTGATTCCAGCAAAGTTTCATCTATGTTGCAATGTATGGATCAGTACGTCACCATTCATATTTTGATGGTTTCAAAAGACCTAACTGTAAAATCATTATGGCAAATATCATTTAAAAGCTTATGTAGGCCTAAGGATATCACATTAAAATACCAAAATTACATAGTAGAATGAATATTCCAGTAACACAAATTAAGAGAGAAGAAAGTTTTTCGGATTTTTTACTTTTCAGATAGCCCTCAGGAGAGCCAGTTATATGAAGTAATAAAATCAAGTTAAAAGAAAAAAAATCCTCAAAATACTGCAATGGAAAAATAGAATATTAAAGTTTAAGCAAGCCCAACTCCTAATAATCTTTAATTATTCTACCACTCTACTGCAAATCCTTTGGTCTCATTAATACATAACAATTATTTTGATACTACCTTTATAATAAATTTTATATAATTTGTTGGCATGATTTTGAGAAGTCTGCTACCTCTTTAACAATAATAAAACTGATGTGGTGTTCAGATTCAAAGAACTATGAGTTGAGAATTAAATTATATTTGAGAAGAACTTCTTCTTTCCATTCTTTACTTTATATTCTTACTGGCAATTTACATTCCATAAATCAGAAATTTCTAATACAGATTACCAGAATATCAGGTAAACAAACTCCAGTTTATTTCTTGTATTTCCACAGCGAAGGTTTGCTACAATTTTCTGTGAACTGAACAAATTTTACAAAGCCAGAGATCTCATGATCCTAGGTGAAATTCAGTATTCCTCTTCCACCAAATACTGTGATTGCCCCAAACCAGGAACATGAACTGCTGAATAAGACATGAGATTAGTGTGGTCATCTGCTGCAAACACAAATGGGAAAGAAGTGACATAAATGTAGTCAGCTGCTACTATTTCTACAGGGGCCAAAACCAGCAGCTGAGGATTAACAAAATGAAGGGCAGCTCTAGCTCCACCATTCTTAAGAAGCTGCAGTTGCTGGGAGTACAGCACGCCAGAAAAACCTACCATCTGCTAATTTAAAAATTCAGCTCACACATCGTCTGTTGGCCGGATATCCTGCACACAGCTTTTCTTACCAGAAACACAATTACATACCTGTAACAGCCTTTTATATTGCAGAAAGGAACAGGTGTGAATTTTAAAGAGAAAAGGAAAATTAGATATGGTCCAGAGAGAACAGTGGAACAGAGAGAACTTTTCATACACGTGTGTAAATCAAAGAGGCCAGCCAGGATGCAATTAGGAGGAATCCTTCCTGTCTTTTTTACTTCTTCCTCTGGAAATATCATGTATCCTTTGCTTATTTTCCATGTGCACAAAATTCATTTGTTCTATGAATAGAATGACCTTTCCGAGGGAAGGAGAAAGTGATTTTTCTGACATGAGAAAAGTGCCTGATGTCACAAAGAAAATGTAGAAAAATGAGAGAGACTCTAGAATTAATTTAAATATTTCCCTATACAGGATCTATGTCAAGCAGGATTTGCATCACAGCCAGACCTCCTGCTCTCAGAAACAGGAGGTCACAGATTTGTACCATACCCACATCCCGTGCCCATAAAGACACCTGTTATAGCTTTGCAAGGAGGGTTAATCAATGACAGTTTATAGTAGCTCCTTTTTAGGCAGTGACCTGGCCTTCCTGCTGGCCATTACTGTTTGCTTTAATCTAAGAGGAACTTCTAGAAGGGAGCAAAGCCCTGTCCCAGCCACCAGTTCATATGAGTTGCATGTTTTGGTGTCACAGCTCGCCTCCCAGCTGTGCTGAGCTGTGGTGTTCAATGTCACGGCTAGAACAGCCACGGAAGGTCACTGCTCTGCTTTTCTCACCCCACAAAGGGCACCCAAAGCACAGAGGCAGAAGCAGAGCAGAGCATCCTGCATGGCAGGCATTCTGGGATGCCTGTCTTCAATCTCCCTCTGGCCTAGGAGTTCAACCCAGAGCTGTTGATCCCCTTCCAGAAGCAGGATTAAGCAGCAATAGGACTGAAGGAAGCATCAGGGAGAGACAACCGTGTATCATGGGAGCAGGAATGAGAAGGCAAGATACATTTCAGCAGTTCAGAGAAAGAAGGACCTGGTGATGGACCTGCAGTGACTCAGTGTCCAGCAGCATGCCAAAAACAGTGAGGCTGAAAAGAGTCAAGTACTGATATGAAAGCTCAGCACCCAGGCAAAAAGGCAAGCGGGACATTTCAGCATTCCCACCCCATGTTGGTGACCCCTCCTGGCACAAGCCAGCGCTGTTCTGAAAGGGTCACAATGGGATTCTCCCGAGGAATCATGTCCCATGTTAGGAGTCTTGCACGAGCTACCTCCTGTGCTTTGATGTTGCTTTGCATTTTATATTTTGATTTTTTTTTTTGTTGCATGTGTACTTCAAATGGAATTACATACTATGAACAGTACTACAAAATCAAGGTGTTTAAGAATGAATGTACTCCCAACATACAAATCTCTTAGGATTAGTGTCATTATATTAAACCAACAAGATGTCTTGCATCTATTTGGAGCCAGTATTTAACATCTGAGATGTAAGAATACAGAACACATGTCAATAGCAATGTTTTTCCAAT